TCACAAAAATAGGTTGTAGAACAAGATTTTTATAAATTATGTTGTGCCAATTGAGCCTGGCATGCCCCAATACTACGGTCCTGAGTCAGCAGGCCTGGTGGTGCTCTCTCCCAAGATATTTGGCTGTCTCTGAGGGATTACTCCAACTCTGTCTTTTGTTGCTTCTGTAATGACTGTGGTTATTTTGTATCACTAATATCTATGCAAGATTATCTTCAGCTAAATCTATCATTGGTGTAAGGTACATTCCTGTTCAGTGACCCCATCTGATCATTTCAGTTGTCTATGCATTTATCTGTAGCCTGGTATTTGGTGTTAGTGGTAATGGAGTATTGTGTACATACTGGTGTTAGCCTCTGCACTCTATATCTTATGTGCCCACTTCAGTGTCCTCCCTTTCCCCGATGTTATCATGCTGGAAGGTTGGGCAATTTACTTCCGTAGTGATACCGCCTCAGAAACCCAAGGAGGCATTGCTATGAATCGGGTCCGACTCAACAGCACATAACAACAACAACAACAATCACGCTGGTCACAGACTCTTTCCATACCATCCCTCCCCTTACCCAACTCATCGTGTGGCCCCCAACTAGTCCAAAATTGCCCCTCCCCTTCCCTTTCATCCCCGGTAACCTACAAAGTGAGTTCCCTTCCCTGTGCAAACCCTTCCTTGACTTTTTACAGTGATGGGCTCATAATATATTTGTCCTTCTGCAATTAATTTATTTCACTCAGCATAATGTCCTCCAGATTCATCCACATTGTGAGATGATTCACATATTCTTCATTATTCTTTAGTGTAGCATAGTATTCCATTGTGTGAATGTACCATAATTTGGTTATCCATTCATCTGTTGATGGGCATTTATGTTGTTTCCATCTCTCTGATATAGTGAATTGTGCTGTGATGAACATAGGTGTGCATATGTCTGTTTGTGTCCTGTTTCTCACCTCTTTAGGTATATTCCTAGTAATGGAATTGCTGGTTCAAATGGTATTTCTATTTTCAGTTTTTTAAGGAAACACCATACCATTTTCCACAATGGTTGTACCATTTTGCAGTCCCACCAGCAGT